AAATATTTTGATCAAGATGAGAAACCTGCTTCCTGGTATGTTGAAGTACCAAGAGTTTGCAAACAATAATTAAACGGTCTTAGTTTTGGGGAATTTTTTAGAATTATGCTCTAATTTCTAGTTACCCATTTACCATATTTTAATTTAACAAACCGGATCTTATCAGCGTTTTTTTTTCTTGTTTGGTGCGATTGCAATAGCGGACCTTGACCTGGCTGGACCGTAGCTAAAAATAGCTCAGCTCCGTATTCTGACGGTGAAGGACAGAGATGATGTACATGGACGGTGACGTATGGAGGAGTAGAGGTGGAACAGTTCTTATTGATTAATACCAGTGTGAAGTGCCCTGCACAACGTTAGCGGGGCGGAGCAGAGTATGTGTAATCTGGGGGCAACTTAATTTATGGACCAGAAATACTTTGGGTTATTTGTGCTTGTTTGAATCGGGCTGTGCTTGTGTGGATCTTGTCCTGTGCATGTATGAATCACACATTTGTATTTGTGAAAATTGAGACTGATATAGCTCCATAGCTTCTCAACCGTTTACTAAAACCACATCAAGCTGCAGATAAACCAGAGAGCTGGCAGTGAGGCTGAAACCATTCATGGGTATTCCACGTCAATGTAATATATCACTAACTGGAGAGAAAAGACATCAAAATAAGCCATTTACTCAAAGGACGACTCAATCTGTACAGCAACCAAGCCAAAACTGTTCAGAAAATATAAACATTTTCCTTTTAAGATACAAACTAAATCTTTGACATCCAGAAGGTCTCTGCTGGCAGCTTTAGCTTCCTCTGGTTCAAACTGTCCTTTCTTTTAACCGTTAACCATCAGCTACCATCTGCATTAAACTAAGAACTTACAGGTTTTCTACATTTTATTTTTGCCATTTCCAATTAATTTCCAAAATGTAAAACTGTTTGTAGATTGAGGAATCGTTAAATGAATCCATGACTAAATAAATCAATAGCTGAAGAGAAGCAGTTTAACCTTTTCTAAATAAATCCAGAGCAGATTCAGTGACTTGATGCCCCCACTGCTTCGATCACAGAGTTGCGGAGTGATGCTACTCACGTTGAAGTGGTACGGAAGAGGAGCCTCGGTGTACTGAACCCTGAAGTTCTCATACTGGCCGCCCCTCCACAAGGCTTCCATTTCATAGTCGTAGTACGGGTCAGCATATGGCTCGCTGCAGACACAAACACCAATCAGAACATTTGCTTCCATATAAAATGAAACAAACAATCAGGACAGAATTAGTTCCCAGTCTAAATCCTGACAAAATAAATCTGAAATAACCCCCCCAATGTACTCAACATGATTCATTCGACCGTTTCGGGTGCAGAAGGAACCACAGATGGCAGCAGCTTCATAAGATCATCTCTGAAAAGCTCAGCAGCTTCAGTGGTTTGCAAACACTTTGCCAAGATGGCAAGACATCATCAAAAACCTCAGAGGGAAAAAAAGTGCTGCAGCAGATCAACCTGTGAAGGTTCAAAGGTCACCATCTGAATTCCAGCAAAGGAGTAGACATCCCTTCTTATCTTAAATCAGACCCTGTCAGCAAAGCCCAGAGGTCTGTGAGGAGATACCCCTGCTTATTGTGGA